TCAGATGCAGAAATGTTTGCGCTACAAAATGGCATGAAAGAAAAAAATATTGATGACTCATACTATTGAGTTATACTGCCATTAATCATAGGACAATATATTATTGTATAGTAAAATTTTCATTTTATTCAAGTTTTATTCTAAATGATATAATAAATCGCCACAAATTAATTTATACAGAATACAAATATGGTTTAATTGTCATCTTTAACTATAAAATAGATTAAAACATACTGATCTAATGAATTAAAATAAAAGAAAACATTCGAAGCATACAGTTTGTAGGGTGTGGGTGTGGATCCTTAAAAGAAAAATGCAAACGTCCACGTCCACATCCACAACCTCATTCTTCGATTTCCATTAATACATCGTCATTAGCAAGTCAACATAGTACATTTTCTTACTTTACGTTGTAGCATACGGCCTTAATCTGAACACATTTTTATCTTTAGTAAATTTGCAGCTCCTCAACCTATCTCATGCTTGTCGTCTTTTCCTAAACCTACTCTTCATTCATTTCAAAGAAGCGCTGATTACTCATCACAAGCTAGTGATAGCTTATAAAATATCTGTCAACCCTTACATAATTGAGCTGCTTGAACAATAGTTTTTCTTCCAATCAAATAACAAGATACTTTCTAGAATAATGCTCACAAAAATTCCAAATTCTCCATAATCATCCAATAGCTGCTCCCAATATCTTACGATCTTTAAATATTCTATTAAATGTAGCTCTTCACATGGAATATTTTACACCAGCTGTCTAAATCACAAAAATTCAAACTATGTTTATTTCTATTATTTACATATATTTTGTTTGTTTTTTACGAAAACTCAACGTATACTTTATACGCAGTGTGTTTTCTTTTATTTTAATTCATTAAATCAGTATGTTTTAATCTATTTTATAGTTAAAGATGACAATTAAAACATATTTGTATTCTGTATAAATTAATTTGTGGCGATTTATTATATCATATAGATTAAAACTTGAATAAAATGAAAATTTTACTATACAATAATATATTGTCCTATGATTAATGGCAGTATAACTCAATAGTATGAGTCATCAATATTTTTTTCTTTCATGCCATTTTGTAGCGCAAACATTTCTGCATCTGAAACACCAATTTTTTTTCTTCTTACGATCTATTTAGGTGTGAAGCAATTAGAGAAAGAGAGTGGAGTATGTTAAAAAAAATTACTTTTTTTGGGCGATTCGATTATTTAGAAAAATAGTTAATTGTTTCTAATGAAGGTCATCTTATTTTACACGTATAGATAGAGGACAATGAGATGAACAACTTTTCCTTGAGAAGTACTAACCGAATTTGCACTGTAGAAGTGACAGAGGTTTCAAAAGCGGTCTCCAGCTATTTTAGCTGGAGTGATCCGAATTACCCCGACAAGTTTTGCTTAGGTGATCCGAATTACCCTGAATTCATTTTTCCCTTAAAAGAACTGGTTAATAGAGGTGTCAGTGTTGTAAATACTATATTACAACAGTTCGTTCATTCATTGAGATATTTTCAGGTCCCATAGAAGACACCTTGGGCTATCCAACCATATCATTTTTTTCCATATACTAATGGATAAAAGATGAGTTATGAGATGGGAAAACTTGTTCTATACATTTTTGCTGTAGTGATCCGAATTACCCCAACTAGATTGACTTACTGATCCGAATTACCCCATTTGGGGTAATTCGAATCAGCACAAGTAGTCTTTTGCCATTTTAACTATAACTTTTTTCCATTAGGAGATTTTTAAAAAGTTCTTTCAGCATTAGAAAGAGGACAGATTGTTCTAGTTGTTCTCCAAAAATCACCTTGTTACGACGTACAATGATTGAGAGCGAATAAAAACAAAACCAATTTTCTAATTTTTGATCCGAATTTCCCCTAACGAGTGTATTATTTGATGTTTGCGTTTTTACCGGACCTTTTACTGGATCAGTTGAGGAAACTATATCTTGTAGCGTCAAGAAATAAAAATGTACCGTCTTCCTCAGAAAGGTTCCAAGAATATTTTACTTTTTTAAATCTTCAAACAGGTGACCTACAAAAACGTTAACAGTATAATGAAACGATACGTCATGCCATTCTCTCCAATACACGACTATAGAAGTCCTTGTGACTTGTGCTAATATATTTCCAAAGAGCTGAAAGGTAAGGTGCATGAGAGTCTATACTTTCTCACTGTTCGGAATTTGCATTTTGCAGCCCTTTCATTCTTTCCAACTATTTTCCTACTAAAGCTGCTCACTTTATCGAGGCGATAGTATTCAAAATCGAGTTTTTGTACACATCATTTGATTTAGACAGCACATGTTCATCACTACAAGTTATACACCATTCGATATAGCTTGAAATTCTGCATCGAATGGTATATCATTCCATGATGGCTTGGGTACCTGAACAAATCGTCGTGGGAATTAGTGATGCAGAAGCCTGAGTTTTTGTATAGTCCGAAAGTTTTCATAGGTTAAAGTCCCATCGCATTGATGTTGATCGATGCAAGCTACACATCATTCGATAGAGCCTGAAATTCTGAATTGAATGGTGTGGTTTCCAAAGGTGGCCTAAGCTTATTGGCGAATTGTCACAAAAAATACTTTCGACAAACCGTTTTTTCAGGTTTCCTAGAAACCGAGTCGGTTATAAGAGACTTTTATCGCTATGATCTATATGCAATTTGATAGAGCATGAAATTCTGCGTCGATTGACGTATGATTCAGAAGCGTCTTAAGCACTCAGGCAAATTGTCATGGTTTTTATTAAAAAGGATAGTTTTTTCCTGCGAGAGTTTAGTTTTATTTTGGTTTTTGTGGCGCTCAAGTGGATGTTTCACGGAATTTCATGACAGGGTTAGATAGAGCTCGTCGAATTGTAGGTGATTTACTGGTTTGCTTTTGTGGGTTAGTCGCTCGGGCGAATCATCATGGAAATACACGAATCGGCTGCTAACTGTCCTTACATGAATCTATACAGTTTTCGTTGATCATTCTAGGCTATGCTTCGAATGTCACATACAATGACCGACACAGAACGCCGTTTGCATGTAAACAATATCATACTCCAACTGCACTTGATGGATTGTACAACGATGATCATTAGTCGGCTTTCCGGTGGAGAAAAGAAAAGACTCGCTTTTGCCACGGCTCTTCTTACTAACCCACGTGTTCTACTCGTTGACGAGCCTACATCGGGCTTGGATACCTATTTAGCCAAGTCATTACTGGGTATCATCCATTCGATGGCCGTTGAAAAAAATCAAGTCATTGTTGTTGTTCTTCATCAACCAACAAGTGCTGTTTTTGATGTTGTCAACACACTCTACTTATTAGTAGAAGGTGGACGACAAGCCTTTTTCGGTACTAAAGATGAAGCTCTACATTTTTTTACCACTGAGTGTCATCTCTTATCTTCGTCACTCGATGGTTTTATTGAACAATTGACTGCACCGCCAGATATAGTTACTGATCAACGTATCATTACACAGAAAGTAGCAGCCGATCAATATATCAAATCTGGACAGTCAACATTACTTGAAACAACCATTAAGCGTCATTTAGAATCCGTCGACAAAAACGATGTAATAAATAAATCGAACGAAATCGAGCGTGGTTCATTTGGGCGCCAACTGAAATGGCTTCTCTGGCGTTCGTTAATTAGTGTTAAACATGATCCGAAGCGAACGACCAAGTTGGTTCTTCGCCTTGTCATCATGGCGCTCATTTTAGGTATCATCTTTTTTCATCTAAAACCAAGCGCCAGCGACTACATCGTCAAGGTTAATGCCTTATTTATTCTTTTCACGCCATTAACCGACACAACCATGAGCCTGATACTTGTTGAGATACCGACCGAACGTGAAGTCGTCATCTGGGAATACAGGCGACACTTATATTCGGTGGGAGCCTACTATCTGAGCCGTTTTATAGTTGATACATGTTATCATGTGATCTCGTCTGTAGTTTTCATAAGTGTTATTGTATTGCTAACTGGTTCGCCTCATTGGACTTTGTTGGTCTGTGCCGTAATACTCATGACGATGGCTGCTTGCTCGTTGGCCGCTTTTATCGCTGCACTCTCATCAACAACTCGAACGGCTTTGCTATGCTCACAGCCTATTCAAAGCGTACTCGCTACTTTCAGTGGTTATTTCATGAATTTACGTTCGATTCCATTTTACATGAGCTGGATGCAATATTTATCATATGTTCACTATAGTTACCGTCTCATTCTCATAGTTCAATGGCATAATACGAACATACGTTTACCATGTAGTCATATCAATTCAAATCACTTCGTTACTAACTCAACATCGCTTATCAGCAATACATGCACAGTAACTGGCGAAGATATTCTCAGTTGTTTTGACATCTCTTATCAAAATGTTCAACATAATATCATAGCACTTATTCTTCTGATAGTTACATTTAATATTGGAGCGTTTATAGTAATTTTCTTTCGAATACGATCTTCTCTATAAAAATAGCTGTGATTTAAAAACGGTAATTGGAGAGGGAACAAAGCACACGCAGGCGAGTCTAACTAGAATAAAGGAGAGAGGTGTATAAAACCACAAATCGGTCCACTGCCTTTTTATTGATAAATCGTTCTCAAAAGTATATACCTTGATAGATTCCAGCATGGCGAACATTTTGGTGCTATTTTTAGTACATTTTGCAAGGAAGGACAAACTTATTTCTGTGCTGCAGAAGTTTCGAAGTCCCAAGAAGTTCCGAGAAATACCAAGTATGAAGAAGTACGCTTGTTCTCCCTTGGAACATGTACAAGAATATTCTACGAATACACATCTGACCGTACAATTAATATTCGTAGAATATCGATAAAAATAACCATTTTTATTCCTTTCTGTCCAGTATAATGTTGACATATTGTGCTTTGCAGCAAGAATTAACGCTGAATATGACCTCCCAAATGGTCAACATATGTCCTTATGACATAATGTTTATGCAGCAGTGGGCGACTTTTTAATCGGTTGGAAAGATGATCATTTCAATAGGAAAAATGACTTCGAAGTCAAAAATGGTCCCTGTACATATTATATAACTAATAGTAGTTGTAGTCGAAAGATGTCGCAATATAACATCTCGGTGAAAATGTATATTCGGAATAGGAATGGTGGGATATTAAGGGAAAATGACCATTAGCCTTAGAAAAAATCCATTTTAGACATAAAAAAAAGATTTTCTTTAGATACATTAGCTGACTATTCGCAAACAGATTCTTTTCTATACAGTCATCTTTCCATCAGAGCTAAGCATTAGTTCACTTTTCAATATCATTTTTCCCATGGAAGAATAATTTGTTCTTTAGGAATTTTATTTTTCCGCTGTGAAATCTATAAAATGCTAAAAAGGATCAAGTTTTATTCTTTTCTGTACAGTCATCTCTCCATCAGAGCTAAACATTAGTCCACTTTTCTATATAAATTTTCTCATAAACAGAATCATTGTTCCTATAGGAATTGCATTTTTCCGGTGGTAGATCTAGAAAATGCTAAAGAGGATGCAATATTAGTCTCCGGTATAATCATTTTCCTGTTTGACGTAAGTATTTTTCCAGTGTCTATATCGTTGGTTGTAGAGACAAAGTCATTTTTCCGCTAGTGAAAATATAACATTTTGAAGTAAATGAAGACCTTTTTTTGGTGTTATTTTCCTAGCATTTGATTCGTCTCATGTTGTTGTTTTTCTTCTATGAGGTAGCATTTTTGACCTGAAGACCATTTTTCTGCTTAGCGTGGACATTTTTCTTTCCGATCGAATTCTTGCCCAATCCTCACTTTCGTTTTGAAACATAATTCAATACAGTTATGGTTGCTCTTAAATTTTTCATAATCGATAAGTTTCACTGCAGCTGTGTTATAATTAAAAGGGTCATTTCCCATAGGCCTTGGCTGTTTATCGACAAAATTGCATTCCGATTTGTTCAGTCCTGTGCCACAAGACAAGTGAGCAACAACGTGAAAGTTTCTCGAAAACTGCATACCACTGGTCTCTACATGTTTCATAGATCAAATCTTGTGAAACACTAGGGGCTGATTTATAGTATATAAGATGATCGTGCAAAATACCCTAGTTTAGCCAACTATGGTCCAGGTGTATTGACGAAATCTCAACAATATTCAGTACTCTTAATTAAAAATTTTATCCGTAACTAATCAGTGAAGTATGCCTCATCATATGATATAAATAAGTTCTTTGTAGATTGACAGAAAATTTTCGACCCCTAGGCCCTTGATAGGGGGTACCGAGATAAGGTTCCAAATAAAGTCCTCTTTTTTTTTAAATTCCTTTATCAATTTCATTCCCAATCATATAGATATTACGTATGGATGAGACTCTAAAAGAATCTATGTAGAGCCTGCGTTGAGTGAAAAAAATTTGGAACTTTATCTGGGTACCCCCAATCCAGGCTCTTAGGAATCGAAAATTTTCTGTCAATCTACAAAGAACTTATTTATATCATATGATGAGTCATACTTCACTGATTAGTTACGAATAAATTTTTTAATTAAGAGTACTGAATATTGTTGAGATTTCATCAATATACTTGGGCCATAGTTGGCTAAAATAGGGTATTTTGCGCGATCATCTTATATGCTACCAATCAGCCCCTAGTGTTTCGCAAGATTTGATCTATGAAACATGTAGAGACCAGTGGTATGCAGTTTTCGAGAAATTTTCACGTTGTTGCTCACTTGTCTTGTGGCACAGGGCTGACCCTTTCAATTATAACACAGCTGGAGTGAAACTTATCGATTATGAAAGATTTAAGAGCAACCATAACTTATTGAATTATGTTTCAAAACGAAAGTCGCATATATTTATCATAGAACATTATAATGCCTCCAGACTTTATATATTTCTATCAAATTGTACCCAGTATATAGACCATCACGACATGAAAACTCAATGAAAATTTAACTTGCTATATACCATTCAATGCGACTTGAAATTCTCTACAAAACCATATACAGAACATCTTGTTCCAGCTAGGTTACTAAATCCGGCACAGTTCTTTGAACGAAATTGTTCTAGAGACTTTTTGATATACTGAGTAAAACAGTGACTCTTCTTTATCAGAATAAAACTGTTCTACACGTCCTTTGCTTAGCCAAAATAAGATCAAAATGCCGATATCCCTATCCTTTATATAGTCGTCTGTTATTATAGTTCAAATGATGCACTCCAAACGTTTACTCTAACAATGCTCTGTGTTTATTTCTAGGCTTTCGTCATGGTTGACTGTGAATATCGATGATGTTCTCAATCTTAATAGCTAATGACCGTTCGGAATGCGCTCATTTGTTGTATCTCGTTGATTCTATTTCATTTTTTAAAAAGGCTGCTAGCTAATTTATTTTTTTCGAGAAGTAGGAAAGATATGCATCGTTCTCTCTACCTCTGATTCATTTGTTGTAGAAGAAAAAATGAGAATAACTGATGAACGTAGACCATTGATTCTTTCATCGACGACAAGTCCTCATACTTCGGTCGCTGAATCTACACTTTCATGGACAAATTTATATGCTGAAACCCGAGCTTCAGCCTCGTTTTGGTGCTTATCAACTTTATCACTTAGGATTTGCAGACAAAAAGCACAAGAAGAAAAGTCTCGATTGCTCCTCCATGATCTGACCGGTATTGCTCGTCCAGGCCAAATTTTGGCCATTATGGGCACATCTGGTGTTGGTACATATTCTCTTCTAGTTGACTTTGATTACAATTGATTGCTTTTTTAGGAAAAACAACGTTAATGAACGTATTAAGCGGTCATTATGGCAATAATTTGTTGATGCCAAGAGGCAATGTGTATCTCAATGGAATTTTGACAACACATTCACAACGACAAAAAGCTGGCTCGATTGGATATGTTGAACAACAAGAATTTTTCATCGAGACTATGACACTTGAAGAACATCTCACCTTTCAAGTAGAACATAGCTAACTCTCTCATTCTGAAAAACGAAATTCCTTTGAAGGAGCCCATGTAAAATATTTTGACGAAAATTCGGATTAGAATAGTTTGCAGAAAATTTCTGCAAAAGTAAATCCTGTAGATTATTACTATATCTTCTCAGAAATTGATATTGCACAATTCAGTTTTTAGCACTATTTCAGTGACAAGCGCATAATTATTAGTGTTTGTCGTTCTGTATATACACCACTCACAAAAAATTCTGGGACACTCATGAACAGCTCCCAAATTGCAATATCTCATTCGAATTAAGTTTCACATGTGTAGTGACTATGATTGTTGGTTAAGCTTTCATATTATAACATGCAAACGCAAAAATTTTGTTTTTAATGTAAAAAAAAAAGAGAACAAAAATTGTCGAGTAGCGACCTATAATCTGAGTTCAATGCATCGAACTTTGGCATCACAGTGCTTTCAATTAAAATGTTATCTAATTTCGGTGCTATTATAAATGAAATTTTGTAATTTTAAAGGTCGCTCATACACTGTTTTATTTTCCTTATTGTAGACTGAAAAAATCGATTGGTAAACTTGAATTTGATCGAAAACTAAAAATGTCGAAACAGAAATGAGAGTAGAAGGCGAATGATAAAAGTGAGGATGAGGACGAGGGAGATCTCTACTTCCATCCACCACAATGTTGTACATTTCTATCTTTCGGCATATGCCTTAGTTTTCCTTTCGGCATTTATTATTTCCAACATTTTTATCTTTTGAGATTTTTACTTTCGACGTTATTCCAGTGAGTTAATCTATTTTAATCCGATTTTTGCCAAAAAGTTTTACATGGGAGGTAACAATGTTATTCTTTGAATGCTTTCTGTTTTTCTCAGGCCATGCTTCGGATGCCTTGTGAACTGACTGATGATGAGCGTCGTTTGCGTGTGAAAAACACAATAGCTCAGTTACATTTGATCAAGTGTATGGCGACTACTATCAAGCATCTGTCAGGTGGCGAAAAGAAAAGACTCGCTCTTGCGAATGTTTTTCTTTCTGAACCACATGTACTCCTCATCGACGAGCCTACCTCTGGTTTAGACGCATATTTAGCTATGTATATTATGAGAGCGATTCGTTCGATGGCCGTTGAGCGACGCAGAACCATCATTGTCGTCATTCATCAGCCGACAAACGCTATGTTCGATCTCATTGACACACTCTGTTTGCTGATACACGGTGGACGACAAGCCTTTTTCGGTACTAAAGATGAAGCTCTACATTTTTTTACAACTGAGTGACATCTCTCATCGTCGTCATTAGATGGTTTTATTGAACAATTGGCTAAACCGCCGACCAAAATTGCTAGCCAAGATGTCATTGCACAGAAAGTAGCAGCCGATCAATATACCAAATCTGCGCAAGCAAAATTGCTTGAAGCTACCATTGAATGCCATTTAGAAACAATCGATAAAAATGATCGAATAAACATAATGGATGAAAGGAAGCGTGCCACATTTGGACGTCAACTGAAATGGCTTCTCTGGCGTTCATTCATAGCAGATACTCGAAATTCGGTGCGCACAACCTTTGTACTCATTCGAAGTTTGCTGCTCACCCTTATTTTCGGTCTTATTTATTTTCATTTGTGTGATTCTGATGATTTTTACCGAAATGTTAATGCCTTAAATCTTTTTATCGTCTCAAGTACCATCACTACAAGTACTTATATGATTCTTAGCACTATGCCTACAAATAATTATATTGGTATCAGAGAAAATCATCGAGGCATATATAGCATATTTGCTTACTATTTATCCATTGTTTTGCACGACTTTCCAACACTCTTTCTTTTCCCATTTTTTGCAACTTCAATTATCTATTGGATGTCAGGCATTGATAACAAATGGTCACACTATTTGATATTTGTTGCCATTGGTATACTTTCGAGCAATACAGGGGCAGCATTGGGCCAATTGTTTGCTTCATTTTCGAGCTCAGTTGACAGTACTCTCATGATAGCAGTACCTGTTCTACAAATCTTAATAATATTTAATGGATTCTATATTAGTTCGGCACATATTCCATCTGTGCTTCGCATTATTCAATACATATCCCCGTATTATTATTATTATGCAACGGTAACGAGCCTTCAATGGAATTCCAATGATCACAATGAGACACCACAATGTCATCATTCTCAAAATTTACCGGAGCTTAGCCCAACATTGCCATCCAGTGCTTTTTCTTCAGCTCTTGGCTTGTGTGCTAATATATTAGATCATGCAAATTTCCGTGGCCTTGATAGAAATGTAAAATTCACCGTTGCTATGTTAATTGTTCTCTTTACTATTTTTCACATGATCGCTTTTGCTGTCATATGGTATCGAACCCATCGAAGATACGTGATCGAATGTTGGTCAAAGATGAAAAAGAATTCTAAGGAAAATTATCAGCCTCTACAATAATCGACAAGAAAACTATTTTAAATAAAACTTTCTTGCTATACAGGGGAATAAATAACTGTGCGATAAAAAAGTTAAATTTCTCCTCATCGGTTCAATCATATGGGGTGATTTTTTGGTTAGTGGTAGACCTTCATTCAAAGTTTCTTTTTCATATGGGTAATGTAAGCAAATACGACTCTTGAGTATTATTCTTCGTATCATGGCAGAAACTTTACCTATTATCAAGGAAAACACAAAAAGGTAAAGAGTTTCATAAATAAAGGACAGGGGCGTATAAGAACATAAATCGACCCCCTCTAGATATTGAACTAAAACATGTTGAAAACTATGCAAGAACATATACTTAATGTTTCTGTGATAATTTAAATGATATAGACAAAGTTTTGTATATCATTCTAAGCGATTTAAGGTCATACCAAAACCCAATTTTTAGATAGTCTCTGTTTAGACGGTATTTATTGAATAATATTCATTTTTGTTTGAAGATTTAAGACCATTCATATATTGTTAGAAAGAGCTAAGCAAAACTACATCAGTNTGCATAAACATTTCCATTTCGGATATTTATGCAGTTAAGATTATGTACATTTAGTGATGACTGTGAGTCTTACTTAATACTTTTGGCAATCATCATGTAATTTAATCAGTTAGAATATGAATTAGGTTGATGAAACTTGTCGAAAAAGAACTAGATCATTTAAGAATGTTTAGTGTTATGAAAACCGCTCAAGGATGCCATTTATAGGGAAAAGACTTCTCAGTTGCTCGCATGTGATAAATGATATAGAGTAAGTTTTTTACATAAATAGCCACAAAGGCAAAAGTTGACCCCTTCTGAGTGACACACTATTTTTCCATTTCTTTCTGCTATTATACAATGACGTCATGAATTATCTTTTCTGTCGTCTTTCGTTCCTTCGGACTCATTCGAGAAGATCCTTCTTCTCCCTGCGATTGGTATATATATATCTTGGTTTTGTTCTTGTTATTCAAACAATAGTGTGATTTATCTCGATATACTCTATATTTCTTTGATATCTATTATTCACTAAGTGACATTGTGTTCTATCGGGAATCTAACAAAGAAATTGACGAAGATACAACGGATTCAGAATATGGTCCTGAGTCGGAAGATTATTCATCTGACGAAAGTAATAATGAAAATGAACGCAATAGTGGTTCGGAAGAGGAATTCGTAAATTTCGTTTAAAAACGTATCTACTACATTGAGAAACTGGAAAAAAGGAAATTTTCATCCTTGTTTGTTCAGTTTTAATTCAAGTGGTTGTGGATTATCTTCAAACGTAAGAAATCTTACTCTTGAAACACCACTTGACTTCTTCGAGCTACTTTTTAATTCAAATCTAATTGAAATGATAGTTAAAGAAACAAATCGATACCAAGCAAATTCTGCAGAAATAAACTCAAGTCATGCAGCTCCATGGGCTGATACAACAACTAACGAAATATATACCTTTTTAGCTACAGTCATGTTGATACCTCACATGAAAACAAATCGTATTCATGATTATTGGTCTACGGATCATTTTATTGCAACACCTATATTTAGTGAACTTTTCACCAGAGATCGATTCAAATCTTTACTTTCTAATCTTCATTTCAATAATAACCAAAATCAAGTTGCTGCTGATAGTCTTTAAAAAGTGCAAACAATCATAGATGAGTTAAAAAAACGTTTTTTTCTACTGTTTCAGCCCGTATAAGAACCTTTGCATTGATGAAACTTTGGCTTTATGGAAGGGTCGTTTACATTTCAAACAATACATACCATCAAAACGTTATAAATTTGGAATAAAAATGTTTATACTTTGTGACTGTAAAACAGGTTTTATAATCGATTTTATAGTTTATTTTGATTCTAAAACAGAATTCAGTTACCAAAAGCAACTTGGTGTAACTGGATGTATAGTTACAACTTTATTGGAACGCTTCTTGAACAAAGGTCATTCTTTGTTCGTAGATAATTGTTATTCGAGTCCTATTTTGTTTGAGTATCTTCCTCAATATAAAACCGGAGCATGTGGAACTGTTAGGAATGATAGAGCTGGTTTATCAGTCTTTGAAGAGAAACAAAAACCTGGTAAGCAAGTATTTTATCACATGGATAATTTACTTGCATTACGATGGATTGATAATCGCAAAGTCACAATGTTATCCAATCTTCATGAACCAATTATGGTTCCAATCAAAAAGAGTACACTTTGTAACGAAAGAACAGAAGATGAAGCCTTTTTGTGTAAAAGAGTATAATGACAATCGAGGTTTGGTCGACAAGTACAACATGCAAATAAGCTTCTCAGAGCGTACCCGTCAATCGATAAAATGGTACAAAAAAATTCTTTTTTTCGTTTGCTAGACCTTACAATTTATAATGCACATGTTTTATATAAACTAAGAAAAAATGTCAATCTTCGTTTGGCTACTTATCAACTTGAGTTGATTCGAGAAATTTTTGGAAAGTATGGTAGTCAGGTACGAAGTTCAATTGGTCGACCACCTTCTGAAAGTCCACTCCGATTCACAATATGACATTTTCCTTCACTCATTCCATCAACAGCAACTCAAAAAAATCCAAGGCGAAAATGCTATGTTTGTGCTAATACCGTAAAGAGAGCCCAGGCAAGAAGAGATACTTCGTACGAATGTATTCAATGTGATGTAGGGTTCTGCCTTATAGACTGTTTTGAGGACTATCACACTTTAAAAACATTCTGAATCATGTATATCGTGATATTCTTGCAAAATAAATGTTAATTTCTAATTACACAAACTTTTGCTGTATAAAAATAATCCTGGCATCAAAGGATTAAACTTATAAAACATTCATCGGAAATGTTATTTCTCATCCAAGTTCTTTCTGAGAACAGATATTAATCAATGGAAGACAAATCTGAATATGATAATGCTTCGTTTCAATATTCGTCTATATAATTTTTAATTGTGTGAATTTATTAGTTCGGATAATATATGATAAATATTATATTCTAATCTATATTTATTAGAGATAATTCTTTTAACTAGGGATGTCACTTTATATTTACTTTATGAAATAAAGATAAATACAATCTTTATATTTAAAACATAAAGATAAATAAATCATTTATTTTTGAAAAATAAAGAAAATATAAACATAAATGTAAGATTTTTTTCTATGATTTAAAAAGAAAAAAAATTCGTGCTATAACAACAGGATATGTAAATTAAAAGTTTATTCATTAAATCTTTTTCGTTAATCGCAAAAACGAATGTGCAGAACTAGAATAATAAAAACAGAACAATGAACTCATTATTTTTGTATGACATATTTTCTTAATAAGGTATGCCACTCTCATCTGACTGGACTCCAGCATTGCAGACAGATCTCACGTAAAATCATACTAGCAATTCTTTTAAATACATCCATATTTTAGCAAGAGGCGAATCAATATGAAGTTGAGAATTTGATCGCGAGGGATATTTTATTTGGTCGATACACCGTTGATCAATGCTCACACGACTGTCTGTTATTAGTTTGGATAGTTTAATGATTTTTTTCTCGACAAGGACATAAACAAAACTGCAAACTCACCCTATTAATTTTTAGTGTTTCCAACGTCGTAGCAGATTATATTAACTACAACTAATTAATTATTCAATTCCTATCTTTTTCTTCTCCTTGAAGGATGTCTTGAAATACGAAGTTTCGATTTCTTTCAGCATATTACGTAGAAATACTGCAACACAAGTTCATCCGAATATAAGGAACATATACATCTGTCTCGCATTGTTTCTTCACAGTTAGATACCACCTATTTCATATAACTATATATGGGATGAAGATTGTCGGATAGTTGCAGCCTTACTAGATTAATATGGACTAATAATTTATTTCTGTATATGATAAAGTATAAAAAAATTAAATATACTTTGCATTACCTTAGCATGGAACTTTTGAAAAAAATTCATTTAGGATAAACGGCATATACACGCATGTTTGGTTGCTTAAATGTGATGGCATAGTCAACATCGAGTCTAAGGCGAAAAAACGAGCTCTAACTCCTAACAGGATCTATCATGAGTCAGGATCAAAGGATCTGCTTTTTAACCATTGATCAGGTCAATGGGCAATAGCTATCCTTCAATATGTTACTTCTCACAGAAATCTTGAACAGGTACCCAGCAATCAAATCGTCCAAGAACTAACGTCCATTAATTATCCGAACAGAATGACCCTACCCCGTGATTTTTCAATAATGAAAAAAGTCTAATTGTTGAATCATTTATAACACAAAAATTGCCGGCTACGCCAATGTTTAAATGTTCGAGTCATATCCTTTGCTTTTAACGATTCTATCTTTTTACGTAATTATAGTACTTTGGTAGTTCATGCATGCTTGCAAAACCTCCTATCAATGATACTCATCCAACCTTATTGTAGTCACTATCTTATTCGCGTGTATAACGATTTCTGCATAGTTAATAGATTCAAGTCCATTTATGATTGTATATAAATGAGTATTGGAGAAGCAAGGATAAATATAGAAGAAGAGGAGGAAAAAAGAAAAAACTTCGTTTAAACACTTAAGGAGTTGGAGTCTATAGATGTCCGTCAATGTGAAGCCAAAGTACAATAGTTATACTTCTTTCCTAAACAAGATATCATATAGATTTTTTATACATACTAGAAAGTCTTACTCAGGTACGCGTCAACAGTTATTTTAATCTCATTTGAACAGTGCATGACTCATTATGACCTCAATCATCAACTGTCTTCATATAACTATGCCATATTGTTATAAAATCTTCGCAATGAGATAGTATCAAGTCGAAGAAGTTCATCCAGAATTAGCGCTAAAGTATATCAAGCCCTCCGGACTAATCTGAAGTTCACGAGGATATATCGATGATGAATGTTTCCCATGGTGCTATAAGATTATCAGAGGGTACACACAATACCAGATGAAAAAATGAAATCCATATTCACATAGAAAAATCAATCGTTTGCTGATATCAAAAAAACATTCATAAATTTATTTGAACTCCACAAAGATCGAAAAAAGAGAGATTAATAGCATATATCAAGTACTTTAATGAATTATTCTTGAAATATTAAATAGGAGAAAAAACTAAAACACGACCAAATAGCACTTTTCACGAGCTGATGAAAGTGGAAAAGTAAAAGCTCGGTATGCTTATATGAAGAAAACCCTTTTGATACTCTTTGCTTTGAAATTCTTTTTGTGAAAATTTACTTAACGCTTTGAGGAAATGAAGATAGCCTTATTGAAAAAAAAAATTCTATAGACGCTTTACGGACACTAAAAGAAGACTTCAATGCTATACTGTTTTTTAACATTTTTCTTCGTCGTTTTATTGGACTGGATATTTAAGGATATAGATGTCCATAACTACGTACTTGATTTTTGTGCCCACTCAAACTTGTTAAAATAAAGAATTTAGATTTGACCAGCATAAAGATCATGTAATCTTTCTTGCGAGCTGATTTTCATAAAGTTGTAGCAGTAACATCGAAACTAAATTTGAAGTCTTTTAATGGTATTAAAAAGAGATATTAGATGGAAGATCGAATCTACAAATTGATTGAAGATATCATCCAAGTTTTTTCGCTGCTTCTCAATTAAGGGCTCATTAAATGGATAGAAGAGTTCTATTTCTTGGCATGTTACGTAATTAATAACAATGTTTTCTTGATTTACCGAACACCCGTATGTAACGAACTCGTTCCAGTTTATATATTCTATTTTTATGGCATGGATTTGTTTCTTTTTAAATCATAAAAAAATCTTACATTTATGTTTACATTTTCTGTGTTTTCTCAAAATAAATGATCTATTTATCTTTAATTTATAAATATAAAGATTTTATTTATCTTTTTTTTTCAAATATAAAGATTTTATTTATATTTATTCCTTAATATAAAGGTCAATAAAGATAAAGTAACAGCCCTATTGACGAACATGGATGGCAAGAGTGAACATAATATTATATTCGTTTCTAACTGTTCAGTCGAACGAATTCTACACAATCTCTTATTTAATAGTGTCGGAAATCACAAATCATGTAGTCTATTCTTCTAAAACTTTGTTTTTTTTTCTTGGAATAATCTCTCTCGAATCAAGAAAAAAAATTGAAATTAATTTCAGATTACTGTTGCNCAAACTACATGTTTCTCTTCTATCATCGTGATGGTCAAGGTGTGAGTGTGACACCCGTCCCCACAATATTCGAAAAATTGTCTTGCATTGTATTTCACAAAATGAAACTTATCCTATGTAAAGCACGATTGTATAAGTTAACCTCAGTGTTGTCAGATGTCAAACTCGTGAATCCAGAATTTAAATCTCAAAATCCTGTAAAACTCAGAAAAATCTCGAAATAATCCTGTAGAAATCTCAAAAAAATCCAGAAAAACCTAGAAGAAATCCCAAAAAAATCTTGATAAATCCCTAAAAAAAACCAAAAATTTCGAAAAAATCCCAACAAATCCAGAAAAATACTTCAAAAAATCCTGAAAAAGCGCACAATCGTCAAAAAATCCAAAAAATTTAGAAAAAATTCTGAAAATCCAGAAAAAATCTCGGAAAAGCTTTCACATCCGGAAGACCTGGAAACACTAGCTACTCACCCAACATTTTTGGAAATAGGATTTTATAAGTTACTACCCCCGTTCTCAATTTTTGGTTGCTTGCGACACCCCTGGTAATGGTATTGGCATAAAAGAAAAATAGACAGGTCTTTCCAGGTAGGCCAGGCAGGCCAAAGAAAATACCAGGCAGGCAGGCCAGGCCAAATAAATAAGTTGGCAGGCACAGGCAGGCTTGGAATTCAGAGGCCTGTCATAGGCCGGCCAGGCCTGCAAAAACGCGGCCTGGTTGGACCTCTGGAAAGTACTTTCATTCTTGAAGTATTAAAAATGATGAACTTAGGAAGAGAGAAATGAAAATCACGATGTCACTATCTTCTCCTGAAATAGACGTTTTTCAATCAGGTCTGCCTCAATTCTATTTATCTCGCAATGATATTATCTACTTATTTTTATTTCATTTTCTGCCACAGAAAGGCAAATAGTATTTCAAAATCCAAATTTACCACAAAGCTGTAAAAACTAGACAGAAATTTAACATATCTAGTAGAGAGTTTTAACTTTGACTTAATTCATTTGATAATTACTTGATTTTGTTTAGGATCTTCTGAAGATGTTTCATCTGAAGTATTTGCCCAAGTTGATGATGATGATGATGATGATGATGATGAACTTTGACTATTTCGACTTGCTGATCGACATTGATTATTATTATTTTTATTTCGTTGATGACAATAATGACTAAAATTTTCTTCAGGTATATATTTAACTTTTACTGGAGTTGTTGCTGATTTTCTATCCTTCAAATAAACACGTTCAAATGCATCAAGAATTTTTTCAACTGAATGTCTATGTGGTGCTTCATTATTATTATTATTATTATTAAGTACTTCATTATTATTTGATTGATTATAATTTAAATTTGCAACATTACGTTGTTGTTGATATAAATCATTTGAATGATTAATATTACCATTAACAGGTAAACGTTGAACTTGACCTTTTGGTAAAACATCATTTTGATATGAATCTTGTTGTTTAAGTAATGGAGGTGGTGGCAATTGTTGACGAGCATTGACATGTGCTACAGCTGCATGTGCTAATCGTGCAGCTGTTTCTTCACGTGAACTTTTTGTTGATAATGCAATTTTACCTTCGTTTTCTGATATTCGATTATCATTTGAATGTATACTAGAGAGAGAAAAACAAAAACAAGAAGATTTTACTATCAGTATATATTTTGAATAGTTTTAATTTTGTATGTTTTTTTACCCTTCATAAGAATCTGTATCTTGTGTTTTTGGAGTTTGACTACGTACAAGATGATCGAATAATGTTTCATTTTGTACAGATATTTCATCTGTTTGTTGAATAGGATTTTGTCCTTTTTGTAAACTATGATTACTATCTGCTCGATTTCGTTGTTTTTTTGATGATGTTTCTTGAATATTTTCATTTATTTTCGTATTTAATTCAACAATAACAGGTGTTTGTCTTGGTGATCCAATCGTATCACGTTTTGATCGTCGTTTTATTCGATTAATTTCAGGTTTTTTTGGTGTTTCATGATAATTTAATGTTGCTTTATTTAATTTTTTTTGTAATTTATGTAATTCATGTTCTAATACAGAAATATGATTACGTAAACGATCGATTTTTTCTTCATCTCCCATATTAGGTCCACCAATATTTGACCATACTTGACGAGGATTATAAGGAACTGTTGTACCATAGAAATTAGGTCGAGCAGTATATGTTTGATAAGGATTAAATGGTGGTTGAATATCAGGCAATTGTTGTTGAAAATAGCCTACTAATTGATATTGTTTAGTTTTATCATCTTCATGTGGTAATAATTTTTGTTTAGCTTCTGGTGGTAAACGTGTTGAACGTTTTGCTTGTTTTTGATAAAGATCACCACGTAGAATAGATTCTTCATAAACTTGATTATAACTATTATAAAGTGGTTGTTGATGAACCTAGAATAAATCAAAAAAGAAAAAAAGTTTTGATGAACTTCTTCTTTTTTTTTTTGGCGGAAGGAAGTAGAATTAATATTTACTCTTAAATGTGGTGGTAAATCGCCTAAGAAATTTGATTCTTGTTGAAAATTATCATTATTATTGTGTTGAAAATTATCATAACGATGATGTTCTTTTTTCTTTGAACGTGATTTACGGTTTTTATTCTCGTCAGAACTTTGCTGTTGTTGTTCTACAGCAATTGTATTATCTTGAAATTTGTTATCATTAGTAACATTTTCGATTGATTGAGATTGTTCTTCTGAATTATTAGTTCTATTAGCAATTGTTTCATCTTGTTTTGCATGATTTTCTAATGCAGGTGATTGACTTTGATTTATATCTTTTGTTTTCTTTTTATTAACTTTTTCTTTATCTGGATATAAACCTTGATCATTTACACCATTTGAAGTAATATTTTTATGTTTATGATGTTGTTTATCTAGCATATAACAATATAATTAATTTCTATTTAAGAAAATCATTGCACTTTTCTTATGATAATCGACTATCAATAAATGTTGTTGTTTTTATTTGTCTTATTGTTATTCGTATGATATTTATTTTCTTTTTCATAATTTATTAATTATTAATTCAACTTTCAATTTCATGGACATATAAATGTGTTGTATACATTTGTTATATTTACATAGGAGAGCTCTTTAAAACGATCTATAATGTATCTCAATGAACTCAAAAACACTGAAATGAATTATTCGTGAAACATAGAACTTAATCAGTTCATATTCTTGTGTTGATCATTTAAGAGCTGGGAGAAATTAAAACATTTTTCTTGATATAAATTCATATGATCGTTTATTTGTAAAAGAAGTCAGAAAGTGCGTTATTTAGAATATTGAAAAATATATTCTAGTCGTTTAAGTTCTAAGGAATGTTTTGGAATGTTCTAGAATCTTCTAAGCCTTGTTATCAATGTCGTTCAGCACTTTCTGACTTCTTTT